CAGAACCGAGCAGGCAATTGCGTATACGATGGCAGAAAGCATGAAGAGACACTGGACAGCATTCGGGACTTGACGAGGTTGCTGAGGAGGGTGATGAGGCTGCAGATTATGGAGAATCGGCAGCGAGTGAGCAACGTCACTCCCCGCCGTTGGCAGTAAGTGTGTCGAAGCGGGTAGTGGTAGTAGTTGAAGCCGTGGGTCCTTCGACGGAATGGAACTGAAATGACTGAACATAGAGCTGGAAAGCTATGGCATCGAGATGATGGCTGTAGTGAATTCCTGTTACGTGGAGGAGACGCTCGGTTTCACGGAAACAGCCTGTACCACCACATATCTACTGAGAAATAACTTCCTGATAACGGCGGCGAAGCGGAATGCAGTCCATCATTCGACCCGAAAGGGCAGGTCCAGTCCGAGGCCGGCGAAAGCTGCGGTTAACTTGCCAAATCGTTCCAGTGATGAGAGTGGGCACCACCACCGCCAGCGTCATAAGTCCGACATGGCTCATCGTACCCAGTTGCCGGTCACCCGCGAACCAAAGGCCCTACCTCGCAGTCTGGCAGGTGGTCGCGACAGAATTGGCCGTATGTCGGGCCACTCCTCAGGAATTAACGTGAATTTCAGTCGTCGTCAGTCATCGGCTTCCAGGGCTTACAAGCAGCCCCTTGGCGCTTCCGTAAGGCAGGAATCACCGCGTAGACTTCTTCCGCAGTGGCTGCGGTAAGTGTGCGCAGTGTGAGATGTCGAGCTCGGTGATGGTCGGTGATAGATCATCCAGTCTTCTACTCGGTGAATCATACGTGCTCTGCTCCTAGCCTGATAACTCCTGACGGGTACGCCGCGCGGCAGCATCCCGGCTGATGTTGGTCGCCAGCCAGCGCCTGATGACTCCAAACTGACGCTGCGATCGTAAGTGAACTCGAGTGCGTTATCACTCCTGATTGGCAGCGCCCTTAAACCGCAACTCGTCCAGCTCATGGGAACTGTCAGCCGCGTCGTCCGCTCCCTGAACTAGCGCCAACCCGACGACGAATTGCGTCGCGAAGGACCATCCAACTCACTAGAGGCATCTTGAGACACGTCCAGTTTAAGATTTCAAAGGAGATAGAGTGGCCTATTGAGCCATACTCTAAAGCCTTCAAGCCCCATTATAGACCAGGCACCGGATCTCCCTGTTCGCACTCTCGCAGAAGGAAGCAGGGATTGGGTGGAGGCCCAGAGGAGGAAGGAACGACTCGGTTTATGCAAATAGACCTACTCGGGAAATTTCGCGTCCCACTGTCACGGTGGGGTGCGAACTCCAGGTTGGAGGCACATATCCCGGCGCAGCAGCCGAAGTTCCACAGTACTATCTCCGCGCCTCCTACCGGGCACACACCCACCACATGATCAGCGGCTTATCGGGAAGTGGACGCCGTTCTCCAGAATCGTGGCCGTTTCCCGTTGGATTTCGATCGATTGTGCGAAGTCGGTTCGCTTTGAACATCGCTTCTCTGGGCATCCAGGTAGCGGATGCGCCAGGAACACCTAGATACATGATTAGCCCCTTGCTGGATAGTTACTTGGTTATAGCAGTGAGTAGCTCGTCCGACGGGCTGTTGTCATGGGTGTTGTAGCCCTTCAGGTACGGGTCTTAACGAGGGGGGCGAGGAAGTGCGGTCATCGGCATGCGTGCTGGGTTGCAGCGCAACGTTGATCTCCTCCCACATCACGCACACGGCCTCACCCACCTTGGAGTGCCTGGGTAGGAGCGCTGAGTCAAAGCCATGTCGATGTTAAAGCGTCAGCGGAATCGGCGTCGGCAGCAAAGCCTGGCCCGCTCTGGATCAAAATCCGGCGTTGTGTTCCGCATTTCGTCATCAAAAAAGTGTCGTAGCCGGTCCACCGCCAGTAGGGGTTGTCTGCGTGGCCTCTCCCTCCAGCACGTTGTTACTATGGATTACGGTCAATAGATATCCTCAGGGCCTCGCGCACGTCCGCGCCCGCTCCCACTCGGTGGACTCGGTTTCGGCCGTCGTGGAGAACCAGGGCAGTTCGACATCTCGCTCCGGAATACCTCCGGTCGATGTACAGCTGCCGTGCAGGGTAATGTGCAGTTCCAGCGCACTGTGAAGCGCATAAACTTCACCCTTCGAATCAACCAGTGAGGACCCCAAGAATCTGAATGGTGTCAGTTCGCCGGCAAGGAGTTGGCGATGCGGGTGGACTCCTCCGCAATCTGCAGGTAGTGCAAACTCCTGGAAGTATGGCGTCTTGTGCCAGTGGTCCGGCACCGCTCGGAATGAAACGTTCGTTGGTCGGAACTCAACGAACTGCCAAGGGCGTGCCGATGCCTTCCAGCGTGGCATGCTCATCTCCTACCGCATCTGCGTAAGCCTGCTGGCCATGGGAATAAAGTTGTTGGCCCCCGAATTGCTGAAACGCCAGATAAAGTCGAAGCCTGGTGGGCGGTGTTTATCTCCACGGTCAAGTCGTCGATAATATGACAGTGGTTTCAGTTTCGTCACGCTGGAAGATCCGCGCATATTGGTCTGCCGGTGGTGCGACACTCGTCAGCATTATCTGGTTCACCACCACATCAGGTCGTGTGACGTTGGCGGTACCCCAATCGTTGTGATAGGGGATACATCTTAAGCTGGAGTCGCCAGGAATAGCCGGTCTTCGGACAGGCTCCAGTCCTACGAGAGGTCATTTTGAAGATCCTCTGGACTCATCCGCCATAGGGCGTCGAAATGACCGGGCTCAGTAGGTAGCCTGGGGAACGGCACCATGTTCTTGGGCAGGAACTGGGGAGGCCCAGGTCCTTGTGGCAATCGCAATATGCCATAAGGGGCATCGTCAACCGTGGATACCTCCGTGAGCACTTGGCTGCTACCGGGGCGACTGGTCGGAGTTGGTGAAGTACGGTTGCGCTTCGGGTGCGCTGCCGCTTGTTCCGCCCCCGCTGGCCGCCGAGCTGGGAGCCCGGACTGTTGCGGGTTGGGAGGCATGAGAATGACGGAGCCTGTTCATGCTGTGGCTGTGCTTGTTGCTGTGCCGCCGGTTCCGACGCCGGCTGTGATGCCGGGAGGGGCCGGTTCCTCGGAAGAGGTGCCGAAGGCCACGCCGATTAACAGCAGCAACACATATGACGGGGTAAACCAGGGCCTGGTGGAAAATTCGTCCAGAGTTCACTATGAGTACCTCCAACATTTGATGTTACCACCCGCTGTTACCGAAAAGACTCACGATAAGTTTTACACTGAGCTAATTAAAAGGCGCTAAACTTTGGCAAAAACTCCCAGGTTCGTGACACTCGCAGCTGGGCAGCCTGCCGATACAAGTCTCGACAAGTCCGCAACATATACTACACACAAATGGCCTTGTCAATACATAAACTACGTAGGCAACGGTCAAACTAGAATCTCCCTGTTCACACCTAATACTCGTGGTGCCTCTCGAGGGACATCAGGACATGTCGGTTGGAATTATGGAAACCAAAAGACATATATGTATTTATAATGCCAGATTGCATCCCCCAAAAACGCCTTTGCTGTCACTACGATTCGGCAAGACGGAATGAGTCACAGCACGCACTTAGCACGTTTCTACCTTACTACAGGCAGTCCTGTATACCATCAGGTTTCGGGAAGGAGAACTGTTGACACCACGCGTTCTTGGGGCCGACCAGTACCGTAGCGCCACGCATAGCTGAGGTTTAGCGTCCAGCTACCTAAAGCAGCTTGGGCCACATACATCGGCCAAGTCGGTACCTCTAGCGATGTGGGGCGGCTCGTTCACGAAAACGGCAGACCACCGATTCGTACGTAATCAACGTGGACCTAGTCGAATCTGCGGTACCGTTCTTGTACGTGATATCATCAGTAATATCAAGACTTTCGATGTCAGGGAATAAGTAATGTATCGGTATGTGAACAGTCCAAGAATCGACGACAACGGGTTTGTCACTGCGATTCCAGATACTCATAGTGATGACGCCTCTCTGTAGTAGAGGTGCTGACATATGGGTGTCAACTGTAACGACACTCCGTTCTCTAATTGACCGTGTCGACCTCCATAGAAGAGTCATACTGCTGTTCAAAGCCACATATCATATCCTCTACACCATGCGTGTGCTCTGCCAGGAGTTTTGACCTTCTCTAAGTACGACCACCAGGGCGATCTCAGTCCAAGGGCAGAGCTTTGCGGGGCGGGATTGTCTGACGCCAGGCTCGGTTGGGGTTAGAAAAATTATTTCCCGCCATTTCCTCTCATTTGCACCCATTGGTATCTGCCAGCAGGTAGCCGATATAGATGTGGGCAGGCGCTGACGGATCTGCTGAATTACAGAAGACACATGGTAGGAGTAACGCGGGACGTCCAGTGGTGGTTGTCAGCGGGTTCGGCGCGCTTTGCTCCATGAAGGGAATGGAAGAGGGATTGACACGTCCATTAAGGGGCAGGGATTGGGGGTGAAGGCAAAGACAACAGGCGCGACCATCCCACTTCTGGAACAATCGCGCCTGGTTATAGAAGACTGTCTTGGTTTCCAGGGGATTCTTCGCTACACACCTATGAAAAAATACCAGCGGATCGGCGAACGCGAGCAAAATCGGGGTGGTCGGTACGTCATCTCCTCCTTTGCGCCTCATGAACCCAACGACCAGGTAGGTCAACGGCGTTGCCGCCGGCTCGTAGAGTATCTTGATGATCCACTGGGCCAAGGCTGCCCCCAGCAGCGCGGTAGCGCTCCAGTCGCTGAACACTCCGAAGGCAATGAAAATGAAGATGAAGGAATCAGCCCTTTTCTGCCCTCACACAGTCGAACCGATCGTCGCTTACGACACAGCAGCCTGCCCTGCATCTTGTACTTCAACAGCGCCAGCACCGTGGAGTTGGAAAACTCGCCGATCAGGTAGGCGATAAAAGAGGCGACCAGAATACCTGGCACCTGCCCAGTATGCGGCTGTAGGAACCCTGGTCCGACTCACCCCAGAAGAAAGCACCCGGAATTATACCGGTCAGCCACAGGCGACGACCACCAGCAGATTCGCGCCAAACCCCAGCCAGATCACCCCGCGTGCTATTCGAAAACCATAGACCTCGGTCAGCACGTCGCCCACGATGTAACTGATGGGGAAGATGATAATTGAAGCCGGCAGCACCATCTCAGGGTTTCCGAACCACGCAATAGGCAAGATGGTTATGGGCTTCACCGCGATGATGTTCGAAGCAATCAGCACGGTAATGAACAGAGCCACTACAACTACGAAGGTTCCGGTGAATCGCATAACTGCCTCCAGTCTGCCAAGTGATACGCCAGGCTTACCGAACAATTAACAATTAACGAAACAGCCGGGGCTACTCCACCGGCCTCTTGTACTCCACCGACACCTCGGTGTGAATGCCTCCCCTGACCTTGTAGTCCAGCGCTACTTTCATCCGGCGCGGCCGGCAGCAGGCCACCAGGTCCTCCAGTATCCGGTTGGCGGCGTGCTCCTGCACAATTCCAACGTCCCGAAACGACAGCAGGTAGTACTTGAGGGACTTCAATTCAATGCAGCTTTCTCCCGGCGCATAGGTCACCGTCAAAGTCCCGTAGTCCGGCAGTCCCGTCCACGGACAAACGGCGGTGAACTCGTCGGTGTCTATGGAAACCTCCGATTCCTGCTCAGGATACTCATACTGGAAGGCCATCAGGCACTCGGTGTCTATGGCGGAGTCCTGGCGAATTTCCACCCGCCGGTCCAGGCTCTCGTACTGTTCATTCAAATCGGGAATGGTTGCCATCAGGCACACCTTCTTTCGCCGTTCAGGCGCGTTGGATTAATTGCAATATATTAAAGATGTTTAGGGTATGTGTCAAAACCGACGCAGTCCTTCCTGCGAACAGAATAGCTCTGTCGTCTTGCCAATTCGTTTCAGCATACGACTGTTCGCTTACGAATTCAGCAGGTATAATCACCTCGTAACCACAAGTATATGGAGGAGAATTAGAAATGGCAGAATACGCCCATCCCGAGTCTCTGGTAAGCACCGACTGGGTAGCGGAACACGGCAGCGACGCCAACGTGCGCCTCATTGAGGTCGACGTGGACACCGCCGCCTACGAGCAGGGTCACATCGCCGGCGCCGTGGGCTGGAACTGGCAGAGTCAGCTTCAGCAGGCCGTCCGCCGCGACGTGGTCAGCAAGGAAGAAATGGAACAACTCCTGGGCGCCGCCGGCGTCGGCAACGACACCACCGCAGTGGTCTACGGCGACAACAACAACTGGTTCGCCGCCTGGGCCTTCTGGCAGATTAAGTACTACGGCCACGGCGACGTCAAGCTGATGAACGGCGGGCGCGCCAAGTGGGAGGCCGAAGGTCGCCCCATGACCACCGACGCCCCCAGCCAGGCCGCCACAAGCTACACGGCCCAGGCCCCCGACGAGAGCATCCGCGCCTACCGCGACCAGGTTCTGGCCGGCGTGGGCAGCGGCGGCGTTGCCCTGGTGGACGTCCGGTCCCCAGCAGAGTTCAGCGGTGAGTTGCTGGCGCCCCCCAACTTGCCCCAGGAAGGGTCCCAGCGCGGCGGCCATATCCCCGGCGCCGCCAACATTCCCTGGGGACAGGCGGCCAATGAGGACGGCACCTTCAAGTCTGCCGACGAACTTGCCGAACTCTATGGTGGCAAGGGTATCGACGGCAGCAGGGACACCGTAGCATATTGCCGCATCGGCGAACGCTCTTCCCACACCTGGTTCGTGCTGACGCAGCTGCTGGGCTACGAAAACGTCCGCAACTACGACGGCTCGTGGACCGAGTGGGGCAGCATAGTAGGGGCGCCGATAGAGAAGCCGTAGTTAGTAAACACCTGCACGTTGGTAGGGGCAGACACACAGGTCTGCCCCCGCCTGGCTCCTGTCCCTGTCAAAGGACCCCTCTCTGTCAGGACAAGGGCTGGGTTTTGCCCCCTGTGATAAACTACCCCAAACTAAGCTACGGAGGTAACCCTATGGCACGCATCAACCGCCTGCAGCATATCGTCCTTAACTGCATGGACGTCGACGCTTCCATCGACTTCTACACCAAGGTACTGGGGATGGAAATCGTCAGCCACAATCCTGAGCGCAATATGGCGTTCCTCTCCTTTGGCAAGGAGCACCACGACATTGCCCTTTTCCCCTTCCGTGAGCCAGCCGAGCGCCTGGAGAAGAACCACCTGGGCCTGAACCACATCGCCCTGGAAATCGAGGGTGGCGAGGAAGAACTGCGCGAGTACTACCAGCAGCTTAAGGCCAACAACGTCGAAATCGACGGCACCATGGACCACGTCATGAGCCAGAGCATCTACTTCTTCGATCCCGACGGCAACCGCATCGAGATTTTTGCCGACATGCTCCACGACGAGGCCAAGGAATGGCTCCACCAGAACGGCGGCGTAGCCAAGCCCCTGGTCCTGGAAGAAGCAACCGCCGACTAGTACCGGTCGAATCAAACACCGCAAAAAGTAGGGGCAGGTTCCAAACCTGCCCCTACTTTTTGCGGTGAGCCCAATTTTACTTAGATGATCCCAAAGGGCTGATACCGTCGTTCCTGCGAAGGCAGGAACCTCAACCTTTGGGCATTTGCATGGCCGTCAGTCACTTATTGATTTTACCAAGTAAACCACCGGTAAAGAGATATCCTGACCGTCAGGAACACAACTGTTCATACAGGTCGTTCCATTCAGGGTTCATTTCTTCAATCAACCTGACCTTCCAATTTCTCTTCCACTTCTTTAGTTGCTTCTCTCTAATCAGGGCGCTCTCCATGCTTTCGTGAACCTCATGCCACACCAAGCGGTGAATTCGATAGCGCGAAGTGTGCCCCTGTGCCAGGTTTTCTTTGTGCTGCCAAACGCGCTGTATTGGATTAGAGGTTACGCCGATGTACAAAGCGCCACCCGTTCGGCTGGCCATGATGTAAACGCAAGGATTTAGCACCTGTTAACTACAACCTGGTTGAGGTTCCTGCCTTCGCAGGAACGACGGGTATTTCGCAGGAACGACGGGCTATATCTCTTTTGAACTCCGCCATAAAGGGTTTTCAATGTACTGATCAAATCGATAACGATCCATTGTGCGCGACCATGAACAGACCGCCGTGTTCTACCCCCGAGCCTCCTTTACACACTCTTCCAGCAAGTCCAGCGCCGCCTTGGCAAACACCCACATGTTGTCTTCGCGGTTATCGTCCCCCGTCTCCACGGTTATCGCCTTCTCCACTGGGCCGGACACCGCGATGCAGGCATGGCCGGCGGAGTCGCCGTACCGGTTGCCGGTGGGACCGCTGGCGCCCGTTTCGCTGACCGCCCAGGTTGTCCCCAGCCTTTCGCGGATGGTACGGGCGTTAAGCTGGGCGTAGGGCTCGCTGCTGGCCCGGATGCCCTCCATTGCGGACTCGGGTACGTTCAACAGTCCCTGTTGCCCCGTGCGGGTATAGACCACCGCACCGCCAACGTAGTAGGCCGACGCCCCGGGCACTGCAACCAGTGTCGCGGATATCAGTCCCCCGCAGCTTGACTCGGAAACGCATAGCGAGTCCCCTGTCTCCTTTAACAAAGCTCCCACCGATTCAGACACCGAAGTCAGATCAGGCATTCTTGAATTCCTCCTTGTTTGTGATGACTGTTCAAAATCCTGCGAGGGTCTATGTGCTTTACCCGTCGTTCTTGTGAATACAGGAACCTCGACCCTTCGCTCCATGGCATTCCGCTGTGGCGGTTTGGGCCAAGCGGGGTTTGCTCTTCTATTGCGATTATACTGGCACTGTCCGCATTGCCTTCACCAAATCTTCTATCAATCGAGAAGGGTCTTCTCAATCAAGAAAAGTCTTCCTGAACCGCAGCATAAATATCACAACCAGCGCTATTCCGAGGACAAGCAATGCCACCGCCCCGGAAAGTTGGCCGGGCAGCCAGACCTGCGCCAGGGCGAAAATCACGATTCCCAGCAGCGGCAACCCCAGCCAAAGCGCATGATTCCGGTGCATCTAGCTCCGTCAATTTAGAAATAGGAATTAAGAATTATGGCTGACGCTCGATCGAACGTGAATTGATGTGCGGCACCTTGCGCACCCTTGGTGGGCCAACTCCAGACAAATCGGCCATCACCAGCTATTAGTTCGTAATTGCCAATTCGTAATGACCTTACGTCAGCGTTGGGTCCAGGATAACCTTGCCCAGTGGTTCGTTGCTGTCGACCAGGCGATGGGCTGACACCGCTTCCGAAAGGGGGATGGTCCGGTCAATCAGAACCTTTAACTCGCCCTTGGCCGTCAACTCCAGGGACTCCTCCAGCTCGGCCCTGCCTTCCGCTCCCAGGCCGCTCATCACCCGCAAGCGTCGCTGGTAAAGTTTCTTCAGGTCAAGGGTAACCATGCCGCCGCCGTGAGCCCCCACGGTCACCAACCTGCCGCCGCGGGCCATGCTGTTGAAGGCGCCGTCCCACTGGGTGGGATCGCCGATATTCTCGAATACCGCGTCCACGCCCCGGCCTTCGGTGATGCGCATGACCTCGGTTTCCAGGTCATCGCGCCGGTAGTTGACTCCGTGCTGGGCCCCCAGGGACTTGCCTACATCGACCCGCTCGTCGGCGCCCGCTCCCGCGATAATGTTGGCCCCAATGTTGCGAGCCACCTGGACGATGCAGCTTCCCAGCCCGCCCGACGCGCCCATTACCAGGGCCCAGTCGCCGGCCTGTAGGTTGGTCAGTCGGGTCTGCGCGATGGCCAGCGGGAAGTGGCGCGCCACCACGGTGGCCTGGCCGTAGGACAGCCCGTCAGGAATGGTTACGCAGTTGGAAGCGGGCACCTTTACGTACTCGGCGTATCCTCCCCACAGGTGGATGCCCAGCATTCGCCGGTTGACGCACTGGAAATTATTGCCGGAAGCGCACGGGTCGCAGGCCCCGCAGTGGATTCCCTGGGAGATGGCTACCCGTTCACCCACGCTGATTGAGTCAACGCGGCTGCCCAGTTCCACCACCTCGCCTGCTGGGTCGTTGCCCAGCACCAGGGGCAGGATGGCCCCGTAGCCACCGCCGTCCTGCCTGACCTGCAGGTCCAGCGTGCGATTCACCGACACGGAATGCACCTTCACCAGCACTTCGCCCGGCCCTGGCACCGGCGTGGGAGCTTCCTCCCACTGCATAACCTCGGGTTCTCCAAACCCGTGAATGACCATTGCCTTCATGGCGTTCTCCCGTCTGTGTTGCTGCCCTGATTCCTCGACCAGGCAGGCAAATTAACTTTAAGATGGGTCATGTCACTCTAGGGACTGTAGCCGGTGCCGGCGTCCGGTGCGCCTGGCCCGCTCCGTCCTCTCGGCTGGGTTTGTGCGTAGCGCGGGGCCTGTTGCTCCAGGCGTTCCAGCAGCAGGTCAATGTCCCGGTAGGCATCCAGGCCTCCCAGGGCGGAGTTCATGGCAAACAACTCGTCCCTCAGGATGGTTAGGCGATAGGGGGCGTCCTGACCTCCGGTGCCGTAGCCTCCATCGTCCAGGCTGGCGTATATGTCGGCGGAGAGGCCCGCTACTACCCCCAGGCGGAGCATGTCGTCCTGCAGGCCGGTGAAGCCTTCCCGCCAGGCGCCGGAGACGATGTCGTACTGCTCCCGGGACAGGCCGGTAACCGGCTCGACCCACCGGATTTCGATCTCGGCCAGCCGCGCCGTGGCCGCCTGGCGTTCCGCCACCCTGGGATACAGCTGCAGCTCGTAGAGGACGGTGGTGGCGGTGCCGGCGGGTATCTCGGCAAACTCCCGGAGGTTCTGGGTGAAGGTGCTGTCGGCAGTAACCCGATTTTCGTAGCCCACGATGCGCCAGTGGCTCACCAGTTCCGGGTCCCAGGTCACCTGGGCCCTGGCCTGGTCGGCGAAGGGTGAAGTGAGCCTGGTCCAGTTTCCGTCGCTGAAGGTTCCACGGGCCTGGCGGGGGTTGTCCAAATAGCGGTACCAGCCGTTCCCGTACTGGGCTATCTGTTCCAGCAAGTGGTCGTTGTAGCCCTGGATGCCCACGCCGATGGTAACGATGCGGATGGGGTTGGGCCTGGAGTACTCGCTGTCCTCGCCCAGGTTGTGCAGAATGGCGAAGGGGTTGGTGGCGTCCACGTTGGCCACTCCGTCGGAGAAGAGGATGACGTAGTTGATGGCATCAGGGCTCTGGGAACGGGCCCGGTAGGCCATTTCCAGCCCCGCATCCAGCCCTTCCTGGACGTTGGTGGAGCCGCCGGGGTCCAGCCGATCCAGGGAGCGGCTGACATCCCGGTCGGTGGGCTGGGTATGGGACACCGTCTTGTTACGGATGACGTTCTCCTCGAAGTGGATAACCGCGATCCGGTCCCTGCTTGTCAGATTGTCCAGGATGGCGAAGGCGGCCTGTCTGGCTATCTCCACCCGGTTGCCATCCTTCATGGAGCCGGAGGAGTCCAGGACCAGGGTGACGTTGACCGGTCTCCGCTCCTGGGCGTCGGGCGCCTGGATGCCAATGCGGGCCATGTGCATCCCCTGGGTGTCGGGGTGCTGGAAGACGTCGCTGTGGACGGCGAACTCGTCGGACCGGCTGGGCCTGGGGTACCCGTAGCCCAGGGAGTTGATCCATTCCTCGGCGCGCACGTCGGCCGGGTCAATGTCGTAACCGGACTGGGCAAGTTCCAGGGAGCGTTGGTAGGATGCCCGGTCGGTGTCCAGGCTGAAGGTAGATACCGGGTCCTGGGCGGAGCTGACCATGGGCTGGGGTCCCGTGGTGGCCGTGTCCCTGGGAATGGTTCTAGGGGCCTGCCTGGGGGCCGTGCTGGCCGTGTCCCCCTGTTCCGACTGTACACCCTGGGAGGCTGCCGACGCGGGGGCCGACTCTTGGGACGCCGGCTGAGACTGCGCTGCCGGGGCTGAACTTTGTGACTGCGAGGGAACGCTGGCTGGCTGACTTTGTTGCTGGGCCGGAGCGGCCGGCTGGCTTTGGACAGCCGACTGATCGTATGACTCCACTTCCACTTCCCGTTCGATTACCTGCGGCGCGGACTCAGGCGCTGCAGCGCCGCAGGCGATGCTCAGCAGCAGAAACGCTGCTCCCAGAGTAGACGCCATACCAGTGATCAGCCGTCGCCCTGGGTTTACGTTTGTCTCGGTTGTTGTATGCCGGGTGATGCTCTCCATCATCTAATATCCCTCCTCTTCCCCTCATTCTCATTCGCCGCAATAGGCGGCATCCGAGTGTCTGTTCCTTTGGCCAAACCCTCCAGCGTCGGCAGTAAACTTGTACCCGGTTGACTGGGTACCTCGCCATGCCCGATTAATACGCTCACTCGGGGACTTTAGATGCCTCTGCTTCTCTTCAGGAGAAGGACGGGACAGTCCCATCCCTACTTTCTCGCGGGCACAAGGAACGCCACGACTACCGGCATTGCCGCAAATGCTCCTATTGCCCCCAGCCGGGCGTAAATCCCG